CTTCCTCCTGGGTCTATGAAAGGGTGCAGAATCAGAAGAGATGGAATTACTTTAAAAAGAAGTTTGGACTAAATATAAGTTGAGAAACTTAGATTATAGGCATAAAACCCTGACTTAAAAATATTTATCCTAAATATACCCTCTGACCATCACTACAGAGCTTTCAGGTTCTAAAAATCTACAATTTCCCACATCTTTGTTCAAAAGATCTTCAACCCTACTCTTGTGAGCACATCCTTCAACATTTTGGGTTAAGTTTGAACTTTACTGAAAAAGGATGGTCAGATTTTTCAGGAAGCTTTTGCTTGTTTTCTATAACAAATGAGCACGATTTTTCTAAATCATCAAAAAGAACCCACCTTGGGTGGTGGCAAGATGGATACTACTGATTTCAGTCTTATCTCGGATCTTCCATTTACTTTCAAAACAATTACTTCCCTGGCCTACATTTGGAGGAGATCTTGGGATTATAAATAAGGGACTTCATTGGCTTTCTGAGGCCCAATTATCTGCTGGTTTTTCGTAAATTTCAAAGTTTTGCTTTCTCCATTTGCTGTGGGGTTCAGGGGTACTGACTAAATGCACAGGAAGACAGTCCCCAGGCTCTCCCCCTCCCCACCAGCAGCTTGCAATCCCTTAAAGGCGATGCAAACCTCCTCTTAGGGGTTTTTTCTCTGGCGCTCAGGAGTCTCTGGGGTGAGCAGTTAAGCCTTTTGATACAGCTGGTAATCCCGGCCCTGGCCATTATTTCTGCATTTTCCAACCGTCCCTGGGTAATTGTCCAAGGGACTTAGACAAGGCGGACCAGCCAAAGGCACCAGGAAGGTCAAACCACAATAGAGCATGCCCTGATTTTATCCAGGAGATTGATGCGCAAATCACCTTGATTTCGATTTGGCACTGGGGTTATAAAACGCACTTGCAATCACCGATAACACGGAAGCTCTGGCCCGGGCGTGGGACAGTGTATTTTACACTCTCTGTGGAGTTTTCCCTAATGCAACCATAAATCAGCTCGCGAAGCAGGACATTTGGTCCATGCTAATAGAGACAACAGTAAGAAACCCTGGGGTGCACGGGGATGGAGACATTTGAGGAAGTTGCCAAGACCTCTTTATCTTGCGTCAGAGCCACCCGGATGTAAACTTCAAGGGGATGGGGTGGAGGGACAGAATACAGCTGGGGGCTTTAGAGGAAACCACAGAGGAGACCGGGATCCCCCAGCGAGAATATATGCACACATCCTCGTGTGGTATAGATTTCTGAGTCCTTGAGCAGAGATTCAAAATCTTGACGTGGAAGAAAGAACAGCAGAGTAGAAAGCAAAGTCCTTCTAAGATACACATTTAAGCATGGGAAAGAGAGTCAAGTGTAGCAAGAGAGAGAAAATAAGCAATCCAATAAGAAAATCACACAGTGGGAGACAACTTTTGGCAGGAGTTACAATATCCTTCCTAATGGGTCTTTCCTGCCTGCCTCCACAGAAAGCTGATATCAAATTCATTTTTTTTTTTTTTTTGAAGGAAAGCAAGGTCTCTAAATACTTAAAAACTCACAGCTGCAGTCAGCCTAGTTTACATAATTGTTTCATAAGGTGTCCTGGGTGGGAGGGTCTGCTGGGGTTGGGATGTTGAATTCAGTATCAGAAAAAGAAAGAAGTAGCTGGTACCTCCAAGCAAAATCATCCCCTTGGCCTGGTGGCCTCTGGCTGCAGTTCAGCCCCCAATTCTGCTAATGCAAACTGCTCAGCTCCCCCAGTCTCCCATGCCTCCCGGAGCTCCCCCCATCAAACTGCTTGTGGGAGTCCAAGCCAGCAAGCATCTGGCCTTGGTCCGAGGGGGCAGCAGGAATGGGGTGGAGAGCAGGGGGAGGAAGGGGAGCCTGGGGCGTGCGGGGAGCTACAGAAGAAGGAAAGACAAAATCTAGGTTGGAAAAAAAGACAGTAATTACTTACATTATTTGTTCCCAACATCTTTCTTCTCCTAGAGCTTCCAAACCTCTCCACGCATCTAAAGCAAGTACAAAAACATCTAATGAAAATGATTCCTTGGCTTAGGGTGACACAGATGGCCCTTTCTCCCCCAATAAAACAGAAACCCATGGGCTGAATTTGTGGAAATTTTTCCTCTACCTCATGCAACTTGAGTTTAAAGAGAATCTGCTTCACATCCTTTATGTGTTTTAAGCCTTTTGTAAAGTCTCACATTTGTAGTTCTGAATGTCTTTTAACAGTCAGCATGATTTGAGTTTGAAGTTGATGAAACTGGAGAAAGCCAGCCCTGGTTGTAAAGAACCCTACTTGTAAGGAACCCATAGGGTAATATTTGCTGAGCAGAAAACCTGTTTCTTTCTTTCTTTTTCATCTGGTGAATTTAATATTTTCTAAATCGAAGTATAGTTGATTTACAATATCATGTTAGTTTCAGATATGCAGAGCAGTGATTTAGTTATATATATATGTGTGTGTGTGTGTGTGTGTGTATCCCTTTTCAGATTTTTTTCCCTTATAAGTTATTACAAATTATTTAGTATAGTTCCCTTGTTGCTTATCTATTTTATACATTGTAGTGTACATATTAGTCCAACTTTCTAATTCAAGATAATCATACTAAATAAAGTTAGCCAGACAAAGACAAATATCACATGATATCACTTATATGTGGAATAAAAAAATAATAATAATACAAATGAACTTATTTAGAAAACAGAAAGAGACTCACAGTCATAGAAAACAAACTTATGGTTACCAAAATGGAAAGGGGTTTTGGGGGAGGGATAAATTAAGTAGCCTGCTTCTTAACAGACTATCATTCTATGTTTCTGCTTTTCTTTTCATTAAAGTAGAAAACACACACGGACACACTTCTTTTTTTTTTTTTAAGCCATCCTTTCTCTTATCAAGGTTAGAGAATAAGTTACTAAGTGGAAAAGTTGCACTGAGTTTTGAAAGGGGAAAGAATCCTAACCAATTCTCAAAGCTCAGAGTCCTGAAGGTAATATGTGTTTCTGGTATCTGCCTTCATTGTATCCAAATTAAACTCTCCAACAGTTGTATACAGTTGAAACGGACACAAAACAAAAAAGAAAAGATAGGAATAAAGGGAAACTCCCTGCAGCACTTTGCCCCAGGTCAATTTGAAATAACCAAAAAAAAAAGAGAGAAAGAAACACAGTAAAATCACATTCTCCTTTCCCAAAGGCGGAGGCTGCGCTGGGTGATTAGAGAGCTGGGCGACGAGACAGAAACCCCAACGGGCAGCTGTGCAGGCGTCCATCACTCGCCTGCACGAGCTGAAAGGTGTGGGCGCCTGTGCCGAACGGCCACCCCACACCAGGAACAGTCTTCTCACTGAGGGTCCCTCAGCCAAGTGGACACACACAGATTTCCTCCTTCTGCTTCCAAGCCAGAGGGAGCTTTCTGGTTGTTGCTCCCCAACCCCCCGCCCCAATCCAGAATGAAAAGGCAGAATTCAGAGGAGCCCTGTGTCCCTGCCTCCTGGGATCCTGGGCGGCCATGTGTCCCCTAGAGCTGGAAAGGCTGTGTGCATCCTTCAAGGTGGTGGGAGATAGGAAGGAGACGGGGGGACGTGTGGGACCATCCTGGAGACTCCCAATGCAGGCCGGGTTTTATTGTGTGGCCTTCATTTTCACTTCAACTTCTCTGGGAGGTGGGGGACCCGGTCTAACCCCATCTGGTCACTTTGGGGAGGTGTGAGGCCCTGGGCGTTAATCTGTCCAGGCTCTCTGGGAAAGGTGGTGATGGCCCTGGGCTTGCGGGTTGGCCTGGGCATCCACTAAGCTTGGGCACCTGTGAGCTCTGTGACAGGGAGGGAAGAGACAGCTCCCACAAATGAGGGAAGAAATAGTTGCTATCGGTGCCATTGAGATTAAGCGCTGACTGAGATAATGCTTGTAAAATGCTTAGACCGGTGCCAGGCACACAATAAAGCCCAAAGTAAAACTAGTTTGCATGTGTGTTTGTTTCTTAAAAAAAAAAATACTAACCTTAAAAAAAAAGGACATGGGGAGGGACTCTGCCATTCTGAGTGTCACCAAAGCATGCCTCCTATAAGACCATCTCTAATACATTCCGAAGACACACCAACCCCAAATGACTTCAATTCAGGCCAGTTGTGTGCTGATAAAGGTCACTAGGTTCCCAGATCAAATGGGACCAAGAAAATGAGCACAGATTCAATAATCCTTTCTGGTGGGGGAGTGGTGAGACCTCAAAGTGTTGGGGATCAGAAAAGGCAACTTTTCAAGAGGGCTTCACACGATACCAGGTTAAGCGGCAACACGGCAGAGCTCACGACAGCGGTGGGTACACCAGCTCCTGGTGACAGTCTCATACATCCGTTCCAGAAGTGCTGGATCAAAAATCGCTCAAGTGATGGGCCCAGGGGACAGCGGTAAACTCAGGGATGATGAAGACCCCGGTGATGTGAAAGTCGTGTTTCTAAAGCAATACATTGCAATCTATATTGACGTCGCATCTCAGCCTAATCAAATGAATGGATTCGATCTTGTCAGTGGAATCCATTCTAATATTGAGGCTCTGATATTCTTTTTGTAATGCAAAAAACTGATATGGCTGAGGACTTGGAGAATTTAAAAAGCTGAGGGCTATTTAAATAGGTGAGACACCTGCTCTTGTGCCTTCTGCCAGGCCCATCAGCAAGGATGGGGTGTGGGGGAGGCCGCCGGGGGGGAGGGTCTGTGTACATCACACCCATTCTGCTTCTCCCCTCTAGCTTTCCCTTCCTTGGGCGCATGCGTCTTCTGCATCTCTCAGGATGTGCGCGTGTGTCTTGCTCTGCCCCCTCTTCTGTCTCTCTCTGTCCACAGGACTCCACACCTCCCACGGACACCGTTCTTGATAATTATAGTTTATTGATTCTCCTGGTGTCTGCTGTGCCCCGGGCGCCGTGTTCTTCATCTTAGTTGGGGCACCATCTCGTCGTCCATCACAGCCCACATTTCTCAGGAGGCAAAGTGCCGCATCACAGGCAGTCTCCACATCCTCCTACCCGGCTACGAAAGAGGCTCAGAGAGGTGCAGGGCTCGCCTGAGGTCACACAGCTGCTAAGTGTCACAGCTGGGGTCCTCACCCCTTGCCTGCACACACAGATTCCCAGCTGTGCCCCCCACCCCCCGGAAAGGTGCAGGACCAATGAGGAGGGTAAAGCAGATGGTGTGAGCTGAAGGGAAAATGCCCCAAGACGCTGGTTTAAACAAAAAAACAAGTCTTCCGAGACTCGCGTGACTGGCAGATTCCCCGCCCATTGCCACCCAGAAAGAGAGGGTCCCCAGCCAGCTCGAGCCGTGCCCCAGCTGCCGTCGGAGACGACCTGGCTCGCAGGCTGTTTACTTCTCAGCCATAAACAGGAAGGCCATAAAAGGGGCCCCTGTGGGTCAGCCGGCCTCCTCTCCCTTTTCCTCCTTCCCCAGTACGTGTCCCCAAGCAGAGGGAGTGTTTCTTTGAAGGCTGCTACCTTCCAAGTGCTTCGTCCCTTTGCCTTCTCTGTCTCCTGTGGGCTGGAAATTCCCACTGTGAAAGTCAGTCCTTGGAGAACAGGGGTAGTCCCCAGAACACAGAGTGACCGGGACTCATATGCAAGGACCTGCTGCCCACGCCACCCCGCCCCAGTCTCCACCACACCACCTACTTGTTGAAACTAAGAGGTAAGTAGGAGCAGTAGAAATGACCCATTTCCTGAAAAGAGAAAAAGTGTTAGTTGCTCAATGGCATCTGACTCTTTGCAACCCCATGGACTGTAGTCCTCCCCAGGCTACTCTGTCCGTGGGATTCTCCAGGCAAGAATACTGGAAAGGGTTGCCATTCCCTTCTCCAGGGGATCTGCCCCACACAAGGATCAAACCCAGGTCTCCTGCATTGCAGGCGGATTCTTTACTGTCTGAGCCACCACCAGGAAAAGAGAAAATTGTCATTCTAAAAGAAACCTGGAAAGAAAGAGGCTAGGATATTGAGACGTGAGGAGAAAAAGCCACCAAGGAAAAACCAGCCAGCATGTCTCCAAGATCCTCCTTGTCACATTCTTTCCCAAGAGATTTGGGGTGAAGAAAAAGGGGTCCTCCAGCCAAGCAGGGTGCCATGTTGTTCTGTCGGAAGTGCATGATGCTCAGGCTTATTAAAGTTCTGAGAAGTCATGCAAAGGGGCTTGTTTCATTATGGGACTCGGTTTTCCAAATCTTGGCCTCCAAGATTCTGTTTCCACTGGGGGTCCATTTATTCTTAACGCCTTTCATGCTCCCCTTTGCGCTTTGGGGACCTGCAGGTTAATGCATGAGGTCAGACGTTCTGAACGCACACTATTCTCTTCCGATCTTGACTTTCCTTGTCAGAGCCTTCGTGTTGAAAGTCTCGTGGACATGACCTTCTTAACTGCTCATTGTTTTCATTCACCACGAACGTGCTGAGCCTCATAGACAAACGGCGGAAGAAAAAACAAGCAGATGGAAATACCTTGGGCTCATCAGGGATTTATGAAGGACCACTGTGTCCGAGCGGATCTTCTGTTTCCAGGAAGTCCCTTCTCTCTTCGGCTCAGTGACCCCTGACCACATCCTGCTCCATCTCACAGGCTCACGTTGACAGTCAAGCTCCCAGGTACTCACCACATAGAAGGATGTGTGTTTCCTTGGAGGTAAATTTGTGTCTAAGGATAGTGGCTTTCTAGAAAACTTTGAATAACCCTAACAAAACATTTTGTTTTGTTTTGTTTTCCATTTTCTATGTTTTTAAGTCCTTGAAAAATCTATGTGAACTTTCTTTACTTCCAGGAACAAAAACCCAAGCTCAGTCATCTAACTGCATGAGACCTGTCTTCTCTGGACACAAACATCTGCTTGCAACCCTCCCTGCCTGGCCTTATCAGCTCTTTGGAGGCTTCTTAGACCACTGCATCTGTTCCCACCCCCTTTCTCTCTGGCTTTCCCTGCCCAACTTATAAGCCTGACTTTGTCACTTAGCACATACCTGTTACTGGCTTGAATTTTCAGTTGCCTTCTGTTTTGTTTGTTTGGTTTTGTTTTTAGTGAGAAGTTGGAGGTTAGGGTTGGAAGGTCTCACACTGGTGAACAAAATCAAGCCCTCTGATGTCTTGATCTCGCCATGTTCTAAAAAAGAAAATCACTTCAATCAGCTGCCTACGTATAGTAATCAGGATTTCACATTAAAACTCTGGATTTACAACCTCTCTTTAAAAACAAAAAATCGGAAGATCTGGCAACAATTGACTCACATTCCTCTTTTACAACCGTCAGCTGGAGCTGAGTAGCAGCCTTAGATGGGACAAACACCGTCAGTGCACAAAAGGACCCACCCTTCCCTGGTGTCACTGAGAAAGAGTCATTGACCCCCATCCACCGCGGACTAGCTGTGTGACCTTGGGTGAGTGACTAAACTTTCCTGTGCTTCAATTCCTCCTCCAGAAAATGGGAACAAGAGTCCTCTACCTGTATCAGTTAGGTTAAGCTAGGTATGCTGTGATTAAAACAAAAAAAAAATGTTTTTTTCCAGCATCTGCAGGAATGAATATAACAAAAGCTTATTTCTCACTTATGCTCTGTTTACCGCAGGTTGACAAGGGCAGGGGACGCAGAGAGGATGCTGTGACCATCATAACGACTTGGAGGCCCAAGGGCAAACGAAGGTCCATCTTAGCACACACCCCCATCATCTGTCCAGGGATTGTGAATGTCAGGGTCAGGGAGGAAAGTGGGGAATCACATACTGACTCTCAAAACTTCCTCTTGGAAGAGACACATGTGAAATTTATTCACATTACATTGACCAATGCAGGTCATGTGGCCTGGCTAACTTCATGAGGGTGGAAAGAGACAGCCCTGATGTTTGCTGAGGAGGAAGAGGGAACCCGAGGCAGATTTACCATGATGCTTCAGAGCCTTTCTCTTTTTGGGGTGCCTTCCAGGACCTGGTACCTAATTTTGTTCTGGTAACTTTGGATTCCCTTTCTTGAAGTTGCCTGCATGCTTAGTCATGGCGGACTGTTTGTAACCCTTTGGACTATAGCCCACCAGGCTCCTCTGTCCATCAGGTTTTCTAGGCAAGAATACCTGAGTAGGCTGCCGTTTTCTTTTCCAGAGGATCTTCCTGACCCAGGGATCAAACCTGCGTTTCCTATGTTTCTTGCATTGCAGTTGGATCCTTTACCTGCTGAACCATCTGGGAGGCCACTGCCAAATCACATAAGCTCCAGGTTCTACAAAACCTGTGCCCACCTCTGGCCAGAAACATTTGTTAAGAGCTCTTGAGGACTTCCCCAAGACCTCATGGACTTGCCGTTCAGATGAAATGAGTGAACTAGAGGCCCTTTCAAGACAGTATCCAGCAGTGGGTCTGCACTCTATCAGCATTGGACTCTATTATTATTACCACAAAAGTTAACGCTTAACGCACTGCTGACTCATGCTGGACACGAGACACACACACTACATTTGGTTAGTAAGGAACTCTGATTCATCAGGAAGTGATCATTAACCAACATGGACAACTGCTGTGATAAGATGGCTAAGTATTGGGGTGTGTGTGTGTGTGTGAGTGAGTGAGTGAATGAGTGAGTGAGTGAGTGAGTGAGTGAGTGAGTGAGTGAAATCCCTGAATGGCAAGTCAGGGCACCTGTGACCTTGAAGGAATCTTGTCACTTTCCTGGACCCTAGGCTCCCCATGTAGACTTCCAAGGAAGTGGAGCTCGGTGACTTCTCTGCTCCATGATGCTAAGTTAGGGGCCCTTTGAAGGGCTGTGGGCAGCACGGGTAGAAATGCTACTTGTGGCAGAGAAAGCAGATTGTTTAGGTTGACAGCCCCACCTTGGCAAACCACCCATCTGGGAGGTCGGTCTGCAGACACTGTTCCTCTCAATATTATAGGCCTGTGTGTCTTGCCCTTAGTCATCCAAATAAAGCATCCCTGCTGTCCACTCCCAGAAGCCTCCACGCACCCTGCCCCATCACATTGTCACTGGCTCACAGTTGTAAGTCCATTTTCTACCATGCTTTTCTGGTCAGAGACAAGGGACGAAAGCAAAGACCTCCCTGACAAAGTAGTCAAACCCTTTGTCCGATGTGTTCTTTGAATTTTGTTTTTTATCTTCTTTTGCAAGTTCCCAACTGCAGTGTCTCCCATTGCTCACATTTTTCCAATTTGAAAGAAGAAGGAAGTAAAGGAACACACCAACCCTAAGTCACAAATAGCCCCCTTCAAGTCATCTTGCGTGCATTTACCGGCTGAGTGACTTGGGCAAGTTCTTCAATTGCCTGTAAAAAATGGAGACACCTGCCCTACTCATCACTGGTAGGACCTGATTAGATGAAAATGTTTTGCTATGTGTAAGACACCCTATGGGCTTCCAGGTGGCGATAGTGGTAAAGAACCTGAGCATGCCTGTCAATGCAGGAGACATAAGAGACACAGCTTCAATCCTTGGGTTGGGAAGATTCCCTGGAGGAGGGCATGGCAACCCATTCCAGTATTCTTGCCTGGGGAAGTCCATGGACAGAGGAGCCTGGCGGGCTACAGTTTATGGGGTTGCAAAGAGTCAGACACGACTGAAGTGACTTAGCACGCATGCAAGACACCTTACAAATGTAATGGGATAGGGAAGAGTGGACTGCAATTAACTCTGCTTTGATTTTTCTGAATCAGCATGTGTTTGTTTTTTATCACTAAATCAAGAATGAATTTCTACAAACAGTGCCTTAAAACAAGACTCATTTATTATCATACTGTTCTGTGGGGTAGAAGTTGATGTGGGCTCACCTGGGTTCTCTATGCCAAAATCAAGGTGTCAGCCAAGTCGGACTCTTGTCTGGGAGCTCTGGCTGGAAGAATCTGCTTTTAGTGTCACTCAGGTTGTTGGCACAATCCCATTCCTTGCAGCTACAGGTGTGATGCCCCATGTCTCAGCTGGCTGTCAGCTGGGGATCACTCTCAGCTTCTCCAGGTCATTCATGTTCCTCCCCATGTGGTCCCCTTCAACTTCAAAGCCAGGGAGTGATGGAACTTCAAGCCTCTCACTCTTTCAATCCAGGACTCAACTGATTATGTCAGGCCCACCCAGATCATCTCCCTGCCGTGAGGTCAGTGTAGGTAGGACTTTAATTACACCTGTGAAATCCCTTCACAGCATTATCTGCATTACGGTTTGATTGAGTAACCAGAAGAAGAAAGTGTTGGCAAAGGGGGAGCATTTTTAGAATTCTGCCGATCACACAGTGATTCTGAAACTAGGTTTCCTAAGAGTAAGATGATGCTAGCCATCCTGTGAAGAAAGGAATGCATAGCCAAATAATTTTGGGGAACACTAATTGAGCAGAGTGAAACCCATTTTGTTGGGGAGGTTTTCATTTCAGGACATATCAGAGCGATTGATAGACCATGTGACTCGTCACGATATATATCTCCCAGATATATTGGGTAACCCTTTCTTGTGAGAATACCTTTTATTCCTCATAAACCAGATTAGGATATGATGGTCTGACTTTTAAAATGAATTTTAGCTATTTGGATAGCCAAGGATCCAGGAATTCCCTATATCCTTGTTCATCAATTTTTAGAGTCATGACTTCATGATTCTCAGTTGACTCATTACCTCTTAGGTGTCTTTCGAGCCATAGTCTGGAATGACCGCTTACCAGAAGGGGTTAATTATTTGTGCTAATCCAAAGGGCCTCCACCCCCCTGCCTCGAAGGGCGAGGTCCACGGTGTCATGCCTCACTGGCCCTAAGACAGCCGCGGTGTCCATAGTCTGATGGCAGTCACTACCTCAGGCGGATCCCCTTGCCCCAGAATTCAGTTTGCCTTTGGTTAAGTCTGAAAGGCTAGAGTGAGATTTGCTCCCACGAAGCTCAGAAGGAAGGGATGGTGTGTGTAGCTGAAACTGCACCCTGAGCAGAAAGGAGTGCCTTTTCTGGGAAGGCAGAGGCCCCCAGCATGCAGCCTCATCCCCTGCTGCCCCCTTCCCCCTCCCTGGTACACATCTGGTCCCAGCAGCGGTCCCAGGGCTGCAGCCTAGGCTGGACCTAAGCTGCTGCCGCCCCGTGACTCAACCCTGTGCTTTCAGGTTAGGAACTCGGCTGCAAGTTCGACATTATCTCCCCTGACACTGACTCCAAAACAATGATGGTTTTCAATCTGTTCATCTGTGACCTTGTGCTTCATTTGAACTTGTGGTTTCTTTTCCCTCTAAGGATCCCCCCAGCCATCTTTTGGGTGAACAGCAAGTGTGCTCTGGGCACGCTAATAAACTGCAACTTCAGATGGAAGGTTTCTCTTGCTGGAGGCGAGTGATTAAACATTTTAATAGTGCAGCAAACTTATCAACGGACTCAAGGAGTGGGAAAAAAGGAAGTCTTTTTTTTTTTCCTCTCAGCTTGTGTTTAAGAGTATTTTACTACTGAGGGTTATGTCTGTCAAAGAGTTTTGGAGCCCAAATTTGACTTTGAACAACCTCAAAGGTACCTGTAATGCACACTGCATCAGGCCCTATAAACAGCCCAGGATTTTGCCTGCATATGTCTTACTATCCCATTCAATATCACCATGGTGCCTAAAAGGTTTTTAATATAGATATTAAATATATCTATATCATCACTTCACTGCCAGCAGGAGCTGTATTTTTTCCTCTGGGGTCTTCTGAGCTATTTGCTGCTGACATACACTATTAAAAATAAACCTACCCTGAGGAACTAGTCATTTTACATGGTACTAGAACTAATGTTATCATTTAAGTAGCTCCAGAGATTTGCCAACTAGAGAGGCCCCAGATAACGATGGAAACATGATCATGTGAGATAATCTTCTGTGAGGAAATGACTTTCATCATCTGTAATATGTTATTTAGATGCTTATTTAAGACTTATACTATTGAACGAATATCGATGCCTTCAACAGAATAAAAAGCATCAATGCCACAGTGAGATAAAGAATCAGAATTACTTCCTGGGGCTTGGGAATGGACCAGATCTGAAATATCCCTAGAATCTGTGTAATGACTAAGGAAGAAGGGTGGAGGGGAAGGAAGAAGTTCCACTTTAATTTCTCTACCTTCCTTGTAGGAATCTGCAGGCACCGGAAGGTACAAGTTTCAGCAATCTG